CAATCGTTAATAAAATACATTTTATTCATTCACTGAAATTCAAATACATTTTTTTAAAACTTGTAGTGAACGACGTTTGCTGTTAATACAGTTTTTTCGAGTATTAATTCATTAATTAAATAAGGATGAGCGAAAAACGAAATCGAACTTGTAGTGAACGACGTTTGCTGTTAATACAGTTTTTTTGGAGTATTAATTCATTAATTAAATAAGGATGAGCGAAAAACGAAATCGAACTTGTAGCGAACGACGTTTGCTGTTAATACAGTTTTTTCGAGTATTAATTCATTAATTAAATAAGGATGAGCGAAAAACGAAATCGAATTTTCTGATTAGTTAAGCGTTAGTCATTGTATTAAATTTTACTTTAAGTGATTTAGTTCGTCACACATTTTAAAGATAACATCAGTGATAATTTTTAACTATTTGAACAAAAAAATAGTTTAATAGCGCGTATTTAAATATTTGATTATTTTATATTCTCTGTGTCAGATAAATTCAGTAAAGAATATTACGTGATAGCACGTGTGGTCCACGTCCCCAAATTTAAACTTTTATAATTATCTGATACCGTCATTCGGGGCTACTTTGTGCAAATTCGAATTTGGCATTATTCAAGTGTTGCTATTCAGTATTATGTTTATTTCACGTTAAAAATTTGAAGATAGAAGTCTCTTCTATTACTACAAACATTTTTTCGAATTTTAAAACAATCTCAGAGTGTGTTTCGTTCATCCAATGTCAACAACTTTCCGAGGACGTCGGATGTCGAAAAGTGTGCGTGGAAACTTTAGCTGTGAAATGCAAAGACGTTGATAAAAAAATCGTCGTAAGTGCAAAATTTTTTATTTATATATTAATAAACAATTATATCATGTTAGCGTTAAAAAATTTGAAAATTAATAACAAATAAACGGAAAATGAAAAAAAAATGCACTTTGGGGCTACTTTGTGCAAAGTTTCATTAGTTTTTTTTTCGACAGAAAAATGGTCAGACGTTATAAAAAAATACCTAGAACGAAAAACTACCGTGATTACACTTTAGAAAAGCTGCAACTCTGTTTGCAAGCATTTGCTGGTGGTATGTCGATTGCAGAAGCTTCTCGGAAGTACAAAATCCACAGAAATACTATCTCTAATAAAATTCACAAGAAACACGTGAAACTTCCTAGTAAACTATTATTTTTCTTCTACAAAGATTTTTTCTAATGAATTAATAAAACGATTTAACACATAAAAATATATTTTATAGGACATCAGGTGATTTTGACAGAAACTGAAGAGCAAGTTCTGTTATGTTTATTCAAGGATGTTATGTTCAAATTTAACAATATTATAAATGTTAATAAATATGTAATAATAATTATTTTTAAATATATGGTTTCCTTTTGTTTAAACTCAAATGTATTGAAATAAACATTCTTTTTAAGAAAAAATTCTTCACAAAAAAAAAAATGGTTTTTTAACGCTGAAAACTATTTTTAAACTAATATCTTTACATATCTTGATGTTTTTGTCTTTAAAAATGTCAACAATTAACTTTTTTAACAATTTTATATCAATATTTTACTAAAAACATGATTATTAAACTGAATTCCTATTGCTGCACAAAGTAGCCCCATTTGGGGGCTACTTTGTGCAAGGTATGTTTTGACTTATTATTCGTAAATATTACATACAAATAATGCCAATATTTATCAAATTCACTCGTCTGAGTCCAGTTATGAATATAATATAGATAAATTTTACTAAAGTTTGAATTAACATAGTTTTTTTACATGTCAAAGTTCAAAAACTGCGAAATCCTGCACAAAGTAGTAGAATGGCGGTACCACGCGCCTTTTCTTTTCAATTTCTACTATTAGTTCACCCTCTCCTATATATATTTATATATCTTCATCAAGTTTTCTATCGTTAATAAAATAATTTTTATACATCCACTTAAGTTAAAATAAATGTTCTTGAATTTATAGTGGATAATATTTGATGTTAATAAAGTTTTTTTCAAATATTAATTCATAAATTAAATTTAATTAATTAATTTTAGTTTTATATGAGAGAAAAAATTGTAATTATTTAATAAAAAGTAACTAAAATAAAATTTTTCTTTGTTGATCTAAGTAAGAATTGATTTTAATTTTTTTTTATATATTATTTACTTTTAATTTAAATCAGACTGTTTTCTACCTAAAGTAGATTTTATGGAATTCCTTTTATTTAACTCGAGTTTCGGAAATAGCAAAAAACAGACGAGAAACAAAAAAGTAAGGGCGAATCATTTTTGAAAGATGCTGCAGGGAAAGTTCTAGTAGTATAAACATTTCTAACAAAAGCGAATCAGAAAATTTCATTTAGTTTCAGAAAAGTATGAATTTTTTTCATAAATAAAAAAAATATTTTAAGGTAAAAAACATTTTTTGATTAACAAACGAATTAGTTTTTTCATTTATTACATATACATCTAGCTTCGTTTTACTTCACATTACACATGCACTTCATTTTATTACGTATTAGTAATTCGGCTGAGGATGTATAACTTTTTTGTAAAAGAATTTCTTCAATTCAGTGAATTTTTCAGATATGAGGCAAAGTAAAATGCATTAAAACAACATTAAAGAAACAAAACCTTGAACTGTATTGTAGTGGTTTAAAACCAAGCTGTACACCCCTTCCTATTTTTGGCATTATAAATCCAACTCTGTTGAAAAAAGGCACGCTTCTTCCGAAAAAGTTGGTTTTGGCGTATAAATAATTTTTTTTTTTTGCTACTATTATAAAAATTATAACAGTCATTTTTTACCTGTTATAAAAATAAGACATTTCTCCAAAACATTACACAGTTAAAATCCGACCAAAGTTCAAAAGTTATTTCGAGTAACACGTTAGTTCGGGGGCCCCTTTTTTTAAATAAATAAAATTTTAATGGAACACAAATATTTTTAATTTGGGGTATAAACCTAGAATTTTTTTTTTCTTTTCTAATGGCAGGCACTGAATTTGAATCTTTGCCTATACTATGGCAGAATTGTTGCTCATTTCGCGTTACCCAGTGGGCACCTGTGAACCAAAGTCACGGAGGCGAGCAACATTGCCCACGCCACACTGCCACAAACCCGTTTATAGGATGGGCCACATTCACACATCATACACACACACAACAGAGGACAGCACAAAGAGAGAGAGAGAAACATCCATGCCCAGAGAGGGATTCGAACCCGCAGCCTATGGCTTCGCAGTCAGGCACCTAGAAATTTAAATTCAGTTTAAATGAAATGGGCAGCCCAGTCACATCCGATCTAGTGACTGGTACCGGGGGTTGGGGAACACTGCCCTAAGCCACCACGGCTCTTATCAGACGTGTAACGTACGAAATCAGACGTGTTCGACAGAATAAGACATCGTTGGACATTAGGATATGTTGTTGTAAAAAGAATAAGATATGATACATTCTGAAGCTCTCAAAGGACATGCAAACTTTCACATTTCAGAGTTCATTCAAAGCATTTCAGAGTGGTAACATACTTTATTCTTTACTTGAATTTTTAGTATATTAAATTTGATTTTAAAGAAATTGGCTCCCCCGACTTTTATGAATATAACAGTTTCTTTGCACGTGGAAAAACGTACTTAAAATTCTCTGTAAATGAAATAAATGGATATTAACAAAAAATATGTTCTCTTCGATTTTTTTTATCTCATTTTTTACTATTTATATCTTCATAATCTTGATGAATGATGCGTTCAATTACAGCGTTTGGAAAAGGACGAAAAAAGTTGCTTTCACAATTTGAAATGTAAATATTTATGAATTCGTGTTCGAAGCCTGTTTTCATATATTTTAAATCACGTGTTTTCACATAAAATATGGTGAAACAAAATTTCACATTATAAAGAAGAAAAAAAATACTTCACACAATCACAAAAATGTTTCATCCAACAAAATTTAAGACATACTACACTAAAGGACAGATATTTTACCACCACTCCAACAAATCTACTACCACTTTTAAATTTTTGTTAGGCCTGTGGGAAACATTTTCAGGGTAAATATAACTAAAAACTGGTGACTAGTTTTTCTCAAGTAATCTTATATGGTTATCTTCAATGTAAAATTTTTCTCACTAATATTACGAAATTAATAATAACTTAGGCAGATAAGAAGATTTTAATATAAGTATATTTTTCAAAATTTAAAAAGAAATTTCCAGATTATGTTTGTTTGAAATATATCTAGTCTAAATTACTAAAAATTTAGAATAATTTTTTTTATCAAAAAGCTCTTTAATTATCATGGTATTATTATGTCAATTATATGATTTATTAACCCTTTCGGGAACAATGAATTCCGATTAAAAATTTCAGTTAGTTAGGCAGTATTTTGTTCAGTAGTCAGTTGGATAGAGAAGTATTGTCTAAGGTCGAACTGGCATAGCTGCCAACTTGCTCGGCCGTTGAGAAATTTTTTTTTAGTGGTAGTAACATTAGTGTTTCGGCATATTAAATCTTGAAGTTTCAAGCTTCAAAAAATTTCTTTAAAATACCACGACAAATCAATAAGTCAAAAACATGTATACATAAGATCTATTGGCTGTTTATGCTTATACATGTCTTAATAGTTTTGTGATTAGAAAATTCTTCCAAACTTAATTATAGTTTTACTACCAGTTTGTAAAATATTTTTCAATGACCGTATAAATTGGCAGCTATGCAGTGGCAAATGCCATTATAGACAATTCGCTCAAAGAGAAGCTAATACTACGTGCTAATACTCATTGTTGTATAAAGAATAGTGGTTTCCAAACGCTTAAAAAGCAATTAGCTTTACATTAATAATGGTTTGTAACACCTTTAGAATCAGTGTTGCCAGACTGGTTGCATTGTACTGGAAAGGCTTAAAGTCATAACTTAATCTTTAGGAAGAATTAGTTCTAGATTCTTCAAAACTTAGAACAAGATGAAGTAGAAAAATACAAAATTCATAAAATATGGTATCTTCTCACCTTTTGGCGAAACACATTGTCATCCATAAAAGCAGGCACTGCAAGCGTAGAAAAAGTTTAAACATTTTCGATGCGTTTAATTTTCAATAATTCGAAGAAAAAAAGAATTCTCACAAAGAACTCATTTGGTTCACCTAAAACGCCGTTTGGCGATATTTTCTTTATAGATATTATATTCAATATATATATAGAAACGTGTTGTAGAAGGACCGAAACTTAGTTGTTTTTGTTGTTGGGAAAGAAGTGTTTGAGAAAGTGTAATTCCTGAGTTACTTTTATCTTGATATCCATCTGATTTGACCAAAGTTCGGAGGTCAGCTGCACGTGATGAATCGCAAAGATTTTGCTGTCTTTCCCCTCCTCCGCCTCCCTCTTATGCGCATTTCTAAAAAGAAAAGAATAAAAAATAAAAAGATCTATAGGAAATCAATAAATGTCGTTTAAGTTCCTCTTGTCGAAAACTTCCCGGAAAATAATTGTAATATAACGAGAATTCTGATTTCCATCTTTTTCACTCAAAAGCGAAATGAAATCTGTTATATTTGAAATCGATTGTCGCAATAAATACGCTATTTCTGCTTTTTTTTTTTTCAGGAAAGGCGAGGTAAATGACATTTTCAATTTAAAAATAATAATAATACGTAGTATTAAAAATATCAGATCTCAATATTCTTTTTCATAATATGATGAGGGTGCTAGTTTTGTTAAGAAGTGTTAAGTTTTGAATGCTTATTTTAGAATTTGTAAATTCATTTATGTATACTTTAAGCAACAGCCAGTTGTGAAATAAAACAAATTTAAACATCATTTGTCTTGCGTAAAGTTTTCTGTTTTATGAATTCATATCAAATATAGAACTAAGTAAATATTAGATAACCGCAATTAAATATCAGAAATCATTTTTATTATATTAAATTACATAAAAAATTATATTATTATATTATATAAAACTACTTATTATATAAAAAAAATTAGTAAAATAAACCACATACTTTTGTTATAAACGAAATAAAAATTTGATTACTGTGTTAATTGGCACTTAGAGCCATATATGGCAGTACTTTTACTTTCGTTACTTGAACCGCCGGTACAAGTAAAAAGTACGTACTTTTACTTGTACTTCGTTACTTTTTAGATTTAGTACTCTTACTTGTACTTTCGTTACTTTTTTAGGGAAAAAGTACAAGTATTTGTAACGGAAATATCGAATGAAATTGTTACTTTTTTCTAAAACTCGGTAAGCTTTCTAAAAATAAAAAAAAATTAAATTAAAAAGAATGCTTTATGTTTTTTTAATTTATAAAATTAATGTGCAATATATATGCATTCACAGCTAACTTCGTGATTAAATACTTTCTGTTTCAACTTATACTGCACATTCAATTATTTTTTACTAGCTCAAAGATCACAAAGCTATCTGAAACCCCGTGTTTGCTTTGTTTATGTTTGTGCTTTTAAAACGCGTCTCTAAAGAGTAAAACAATTTTAAATCAATGGTAATTTAAATAAATAAAACTAATAAACTAAAAATTAAAATCAATAGATAAAATTTCTTTTTCGGGCAAATCCATAAAAAGTTTGATATTAAAATTATATTTGATTTTAAAATTATATTATACGATTAGATATTAAAATTATATTATAATATTCTTCCGAATTTAAAAATAAATTAATATCCATAACTTTCAAAATTAAAAATAATTAAATAAATAACAACAATTTTGCAAAAACATTAAAGAACATAAGAATATTATTCAATAAAATTTTAGGTTACTTTAAATTTTCGATTTCCTAGAAATGTACTTTTAAATCGTTACTTTTTTTGTTTAGTACTTGTACTTTTACTTGTACTTTTTACTCGTTACTTTTTAAAATAAGAACTTTTTACTTTTTACTTTTTTTAAAATTATTTGTACTTTTACTCGTTACTTTTTAATTACTTTAAAACGTAACGAGACTTACGTAACTTTACGTAATTACTTTTTAAAAGTAACGTTGGCACATATGCTTAGAGCTCGTTTATAATTAACGGTAGTCTGCTTGAAAGGATTTAAATTTCATAAATTTTTATAATTGAATGCAGAAAAATTCCTATGCATTAAATAATAATTAATAATAAAAAAAAATGAATTTAAGTTATGGCTTGCCATTTAAATTTGTTTGAGAAATATTTTTTTAATTAATTTTATTGAAACTGTCGTTCATGCCTCATATGGCATAATCAGATGAATTGCTTATGTGTATTTTATGATACGAAATTCTAAATAATACTTTTTTAAATTTTGTAATTTATTTTTCTTTGTAATTTCATTTTTTATAATTACATTAAACAAATATTGACGAAGTATCGAAAAATGTTTTATTGCTTAAAATAAATCTTCAAATAATTCCAAATAAACTGAAAAAAATTCTCTCTCTATCTACATTATTTATCGAGTTTTGAGTATTTTTTGGTAAAACGGCAAAACAAATTATTTTCATTTTGAAAAATATTGCAGAAACTTGCAGCTTTAAAGATTTAAATATTGGAAATTTTAGACCTTTTTCTATTTTTAACAATTCTGAGCCATATTACTAATTTTTGAAAATCAATTGGTATTCATTTAAGTGCAAGCAAGTATTCATTTAAGTGCAACTAAAAATGTGCTCGTTTTACTCTTATTTTTAAAAAAAACAATTTAATAACAATTAAGCACGTATTTTTGTTTCGCAAATTTTTTCTGTGCAACATTTATGTTTTTAATTTAGTAGTTAAGAATTAAAGGTTCTTTTATTTTGGTAACTGCAACAGCGACTATGTGATTGTTGACATTCTCTTGTAAAAACAATTAAGTTCTGAAGGTATTTTGACTCCTTATTCACTGAAGAATTAAAATCAAATAGGCATTTTTAGATTCAGATAAGTTCTGGAATTTTATTTGTAAACATCGTTTTTACTCATATTTTTATATACACTGTTTTCCTAATTTCCATAATATCCATAAAATCTTTTTTTTTACTACTTATCAAAGATAAAGATTAAAAAGTATATACATTGTGGACTACAAATTGATATTTTAGCAAATAAAAACAGAAACTGTCGAAATACAATCGAATTTGAGTCAGGCATTCGAATGAAACACAAATACCTGTTTGATTGCGGTAGGACATAGAGGAGATAAACGAAATTTATTATTAAAAACACCTTCATATATTTCTCCCTTGAACATGTTCAAACAAGTTTTTATGCTATGTGAACACACTCCTTTTTTTTTATTTTAATGTAATTTTGCAGAAAAATTTGGCTCAGAATATTCTACTAATACTTTTCTGGAGGAATCGTTATTTGGCACTATTTTTTTAAGAAATCTAAAAAGCAAGATATTCATCAAAAAAGTATGCTTAATATTTGAAAATACTAATTTTAATATTATACTGAAAATAAAAAAAAAGACAAATTTATTTTTGAAAAGAAAAATATACTATTTTAAAGTTTAAAAATCTGAAGGGTAAAAATACTTGGATAAATTATAATTATATTACATTTTACATCTTTCAATTGCAAATAAATGTAGAGTTTATATAATTTTCACTCGGAATTTAATTGTTCTTTGTATGGTTCTGAAAAAACTATATTCTTTCTTATTTTAAAACAGCAATTTTCTGAATGTGTCAATAAAATTATTCGATTTATCGATTATTCGATTCTTTTCTTACAGATTTTTCTTAGTCTAGTAATTGTTTCCTTATTCAAATCTAAATAGAAAAATCTAGAATATAAGAAATGGTACACATGAATGAGGTTTTCATTCTTTAGACAATATCATTATTCTGATATAAGAAATAGTTATGATGAATCATGATTTACAAGTGAACGAAAAATTTTACTTGTCAAATCATTTATTGATCTTGAAATGCAAATAATATTGCTTCATCAAAACATCAAATAGTTCCGGAAGTTCATTATATTGAGTTAAAACTTGATGAATAACATTGATTTATTCGGATAAAAAATAAAAATTCATCATTTTAAAATATTTAAGTGTAAGCAAATTAGCTACAGCAAAAATATTTTACTTCACTCAAAAAGCAGATGACCATATTCAGTTTTCGAGTTGATATATATATATATATATATATATATATATAGAAAGAAATATACTGCCGTAATACCACCGTTCAATTTGTGTTCATAATCCTTCTGAAAGACAACTAAGAATAAAAAAAAAATGAAAAATGGAATTTTTTTTACTTTTAGAATAATGAAAAATAATTTTAATTAATCTAAAAATATTTGGATTTTACCCATGATTTGGGTTGTAAAATTCTTTTTAAGTAAATTTTTGCTGTTATTAAAGTTTTTTTTTAAATCAGCAAATTTCTCAAAATTCTATGATTTTACAAACATTTTTTCAATGTTAAGAATTTTAAGTTTTTAAAATTTTTCATTCATCATTTTAATTGCAATTAGTAAATAAGAACTTTTCTAAAGCTTCGACATTGATATTGCTCATCTGTTAAGTCTCTGAATAATAGATCTGATTGAAAATTTTGGTCTTTAACTCTATATGGCATAAAATATATCAAGATGACAGGAAAATTTCAGAAGCAAATCTGAATTCAGACAAATAATAAGGGTAGCGTGCTTCCCAAAAATAAAAAAAAGAATTAAAAAAGAATAAAATTTGAGAAATCATTAGTCAAAAAATATAATGAAATGTTGGGTGACACAGGCTAATTACACTAGGCAAAGAAAAAAGCATTAGAAAAGCTCGTGGAAATCCTGCTCTGAACGAGAAAAGTAGAGAATGCATAATATTTAGGGCTAATGATCTATTCTTTAGTATAAAATATTAATACTGTCCAAAATTTAAAGAAAAAACAATTACCAACTCTTTTATATGCTTAGTTTTATTATATGCACCATGTTCTTATCTCACAGTGCATATATTGCATATTTGTTTGCATTTATTTCCGCCAAATTTTCAACCTTTTTGCCAATATTTCAAGAATTTTAGTACTTTTTTATCTCGCTTCAGATTTGTAAGTCTATCCATTATTCAAACGTTCGTTTGTCTTAATATTTATGTAATAACGTTTAAAAAAACGCATATTTTGCATAATNTTTTTTTTTCATATAAAATTAATGTAATCTTAGTTTTAGATAAGTTTATCACTTAACCAAAGTGAAAATAGTAATAATAATAATATACTTACGGAGCACCAACTAAAAGTTTGCTGATTTTCAATACAAATCTCTCAAAAGACGTTTGAACATGTTGGTTAAAAAG